TGCGCATATATGTAGTATAATTTGCACTAACTGTGTTTGTTTTTTGGAATTCTTAGTTGTTACATTTGAAGCATTATTCTTCCTGCCGGCAATTTTAGAACAAGCCGTTGCTTATGCTCAAATGTCTCAGAATGGCTTCTTTACTTGATGATACGGACCCACGCCTTCATGTATGCCGCGTCAAGTTTTTGAAGTACAGTGAGTTTAAACTACGTAGCTTCATAGATCTTCAATGCTCATTTCTACTGTAAATTTCTCACAGAAGAAGCTGCTCGCTTTTCGGAAGTTATCGGAGGTCTAGTTGAAGAAATGTCTTCTCAACTCTTCACGGAAATGGATCCTATGGTTTTGAATGATAGCTTCAAACATCAACATCTTAATAGTCTCCGTCATCGTATTGCAGGTGCAGTTAGTGCTCATCTAACATCATATATGCAAGTAAATCAAGAGAATTTAGATTGGATTCTTTTAATGTTAATGACTGTTTTGTTTACGTTAGACTTTTCCTTTTGATGAAAAGGTATTAGTTTTATCGTTTTATTTTCTAAGGCAGGTAAGCAGTTGACATCAAATTGTGCTCGCGACACATTATCTGGAATTTTGAAGTTTACTGGCCGTCACTGCGGCTATCGCAAAAAAAAATGAAGAGAAATTCGAAAACAATGATATGTGCTTGGAAGCTCGATAAGGTTGACAGCTGTCAATCTATGGGCTGGCAAACGTTTAGCGCTTCCGCTTGCAGTTACAAAATGAGGCAAGCGGAGGCTAGTTGTTCTTGTGATGTTCTAATGATCTTAGTCTCATAGTGTTAAGCTAGTATCCTAGCACTTTTCAGAAAAAGGCTCCTAATCGTCTACCTCAAAATAAACTCCTTCGCAAAATTTACAATAAATGTTCTTTTTACAGTTGCCGAATGCAATCTGGTTCTTGATCCTGGCAGTGAATCCACGACGAAAAATTGGTTAATCAAGTCACTAGAGGACGAAAAACTCGTGGGTAGGAACTTAAAAACGGTTGTTGAACTCTACGATTCAATAAAATATGGTCGACATGGAACTTGGAGCAAAGAGGAGGTAAGCATTCATCAAACTATTCGTTTTCTCTAATATTTACTCTTTTGTCGCGCTTGACATCGTACCATTACATAACCAAAGCAGTCCTTTTTCCTTCCTCCACTGCACAAAGGCTCTGATTAGATCCACTCACATCTCCTATCCATCCCGTGTTGAATAGTTGGTCTTTTGCTTTGTTGACTATTTATATCCAATAATCGATTAATCAATGATTTATCATCTGTGGCTTTCCAATCATGATATAGACTATTCTTGCTATTGCTTCTTCAAATTTTTGTGGAGACATTGTTAGAAAA